TGTGTGTGTGTGTGTGTGTGCGTGCGCGCGCGCGTGCGTGGGTGTGGGTGTGCATGTGTGTGCTTGCGCTTGCGAGCCACTTCTTCAACACTTTTACGCAACGGCGTTGTGAGCTCGTCAAATAAAATAAGACTCATTAGAGAATTTAAAAAAATTAAAATCGAGTTTTGAAAGAGTCAAGGGAGGCAAATCGACACAAAATGGTTCATTCAGTATGCAGAAAGAAAAAGGCAGGCAGACAGTAACATCAGAGTGGAAGCAAACAAAGAAAAAGTATAAGTAAAAAATTATGATAAGACAGTTTATTGGTCTCCAGTTATTATAAAAAAAGAGTGCACTTGTAGGAAATGACACAAAGAACAACTGCGACGAAGATATAAAAATGGTCGGGAAAAGAAACCTTTTACAGAATATAAAATCAAAAGAATTTGTCTATTTCGGTGAAAATAACACACCAAATATTCTTGTGAGTAATTACCCCGTCATAACTTGGTATAAAAACAAAAGAAAAAAGAAATATATCTTCATGTTGACGAGCGTGGTGTGTTTATAAATTTGCTAATGCTCACAGCCTTACTGGACAAGTTTGAAATGGTACAGTGTGTGTGTTAGTTAATTTTAGTAGAGGTTTTACGGCGCTCACAACTGCATAAGGTCATATGAGCGCCAGATGATTAGAGGTGTTACAAGAGAGTAACAAACATAAAAAACGAGAAGGGGAGGAGATAAGGACGATATATGTTTCTCAGGTTGTGTCACGTACCATACTTTACGCTGTTGACATACGACTTATAAAATCAGATTGAATTGAACAGATTTGTCAAGAGGGTGTGCAAAAACAACAGCAAGTAAATAACAACACAAAATCTGGAGATAAAGACATTTATGGAGAAAGGTGAAGGTTAATGATGTCTGTATGTTATAAACTGATAAAAACAACAAGTACATGATAAAACGTGAAGAAATCAGGAACTATCGAAACAAGAACCGAGACAATGTTGTCGATATTTAAGTCAAAAGTGTTCTACTTTATGGATAGGAAACTCGGACACTTTCTAAACAAACGTCTGAAAAGTTACACGCATTTGTCAACAGTTGTTTTATGTTTAAAAATCTCTAAAATTCATTGGCCTGGTACCACAAAAGAATTATAAACTATTGGAGCAAACAAACCAACAGAACATGGACATTGAAATCAGAAAAAAAGAAATTGTAGGACACACCTTGAGAAAAATGTGAACAAACGTTACCCATCAAGCCTTAGATGGAATTTCACAAGAAAAGAGAAAGAGAAGAATGCTTTGAACAATTAAGTCTAGGAAGAGGGACTTGGATTTGGAGCTGACGGAAATGGAAAACAGCTGAACAAAGGTGGAGACTATAGGCCAGGACAGACATTGGTGGAAAGCTCTTGGTGGTCTATTTTGGCTGATGTTTAGTTTTAGGTTTAGTAAGACTTTAACGGCTCCTGCAACACAATTAGGTGATATATCATGTATTAGTGTCGAAGACTTGAGGTGTTACTATAGAGAAATATAACTATAATTTACACAGAAAAGAAGGAGGAAAGAAAATGACGATAGATATGTGATAGAAATGAAAGACCAAATGATACCAAAATCTCTAACCATCCATGATGTTGATGACATAAAAAAAACATTGAAATATAGTGATATAAGATCATACAAACACCTTGTTGGAATAATCAAGACATTCATTTAATCTTAGTCCAAGAAGACATTTACTAAAAATTATACGCTAGAATCACTTTAAAAAAGTCGCAGTAGTTGATTAGGTGAAGCTTCCGAATCAACACCCATCTCCAATAGAACAAGATGGAGACCACAACGTTATACACTATTTTTAAAAATCTAGCTGTAAATGTTCAACCGCTCATCGACACAAGTAAAATAATTCGGGAGGCGGGCAGCTTTAACCCTGTGTGTCAGGGCCAACCCGGCAGAGAGTGATACAAAGTCTCTTAAGAAAAACGGACGTACATGTACAGTATATACATTTATTTTAAAAAACCTCTCTTTTCAAGAATTGAACTCACTTCTTCGTGTAGCGGGCTAATAGCCAGGCAGCTACTCCACAGACATCCATTGAACCCAGGTCAGAGAACCAACTAACTGAGCTACAATTTTTCCTTGAGACCACACCTTGACCCCTTGGTAATGTTACATACAGGAATGTTTTTATAATAGTACCTGTTTAAGCGTTAAGGCCAACATTGAGGCAAAATTCAACGTTTTAGATTTAACATTAATTATGAGTAATACGCTGAAACCCTTCCTCATGAAAATAAGCAAAAAGTATTCCGGACACTGAACAGGCTCTATGTTCTCTCTTTTCGATGGAGAGGACCTTAGAGGTGAAGTGACAAGTGAACGACATTGGCCTAATACAGTCGAACCTACTCTAACGACCACTTGTACAAGACACTCCCCTGTACAGACAACACTTTCCACTCCTTGGATTTTTCAAACTTTCAAATGATACTGCCCATTAAAACCACCTGTCTAAGATGACCACTTTCCCCCATCTATAAAAGATAGTCATCTTGAGCAAGTTGAAATACATTACATTATAGCGAAATTGAAAAAGATATCACAGCTGGGATAATGGCATGTCACCTCGATAATGTCCTAGATTTTGATTTTAAAAAAAGACATTTGCAGTTTCATAATCATGTAGTATTGATTTCATAAGCTGGGGAAATGCGTTGTCAAAATTCTAATTCTAATTATTTTTATCTCAAGAAAAGATGCACAAAGTGAATATAACTGCTAGGAGAATGATACAATGTTTTCTCTATCCAGAAAAAAGATTGTTTTTTTTTTTTGGGGGGGGGGGGGCTTAGAATACTTTAAGAGCATTGCGACGATGTATGGTTCCATGGGAAAGGTGGAGAAACCGGCAACAGACATGCATAAAAAATGACAGCGTGAAAAGGATGGTAAAAATGAATGTAAGATTTCCACCCAGGAGAGACAATCGTCCCCTGATTCCTCTCCTTTTAAAAGACAGATCTATCCCTGGCCAAGGTTGGTGAAAAGAAGTAAAGAGAAATGCTGAAGGCGCGGATGCAGCTTTAAAAAAATATAACGAAACAAAATTCCAAATTGAGGTGAAATGAAGTAAAACTGGTGGTACGATACTAATTTTTGAGAAATAGCGAAACGAAATCAAACACAGTGGGTGTAAAATTAAATGTAAATGAAATTGAAAGAAATAAAAGCAAAAAAACGACAACGCAATAGCCTCATCATCATTAGGTCCTATTTTTGAGAATATCAATCAGGACCGGATCGTCTCCTCTCTCCACCACGTCCAACGGCGTCAAAGAATCCGAGTTGCAGGCCCTGACGTATGCTCCGTGCTCCAAAAGTAGCCTTGCTACATCCCGGTACTTCTCCTTGCCTGGAATTGTGGGTCTGGCTGTGCGGTTGCTCACTCTCATAAGGACCATGTCTAGATTTTTTTCCAACTTTGACTTGTATAGAGCTGGAAGCACCATCCGCTGATTCAGGTAGATCTTTGCCTGGAAAGGAGGTGGAGACAAGAGGGGTGTAGCTCATACCTCGTGATTTTATTATACCCAAAGAAGGTAGAAAGAAAAAGAGACGGGGGGAGAGAGAGAGAGAGAAAGAGAGAGAGAGAGAGAGAGAGAG